AAACCTAATATGAAAAGAAGAAATATGAGAACACATGAAGTAGTGAAAAACAGGCCAGTTTTTCTCAAGCTTTGCCCTCAATATCAATGTCACTATTATTGTGACATTGTTTCACTTCATAAATTTATTTACCTTTTACAATATGGTCTATAACTGAAATATTCTCAAATACAGTATCTTTCAAATGCTGTTTTATTTATACATAAAGTCTCCAAAATTAAAGTGTGCACTTTTGAAATGGTTATCGTGCTGTCTGGCTTTTCAGGATCAGACCAGCCTGCCTGAAGGATGTTGAAACCACTGCAAATCAACTGAGCAACAGCCCCTGAGATAAGTGGACACCTGCCTTAAAGCGAAGTTTTGTCTGGCTCTCCATAGAAAATGTGCATCTGTCTGCAGGGCTCACAGTCTGCACATCAGGCAGCTTTGTCGTCTACATATTTTTAACATCAAATTATATATTCTGCTGTGAACTGCATGTTTTAGAATGTTACAGCATGTACATTAATTTGTAGTTTATTTAGGATTTCTAAAGAAATTATACAGTTACTACAAAGATAAGCCTAATGAGTCAATACCAAGACCAAGTTCAAATGTAGTCCTCATGTATTAACACAGAAAATCCAAACAAAATGTACAGGTTTTGTAAGCATGCTTTCCTGTAACAGGGTAAAAACCCTAAGAAATGTTATGCCTATTAAAAATGGCTACTGCAATAATTGAGAAATAACAACAGCATGATAAAAACCCAAGCAAATAAATATCATTTCACCCATCTATCCCTAACACAACTCCTAACTGATGTACACAAGTGTTTTTCCATAAGAACCTTTACAGAGAAATTCCCAACTAATCAATCTCCCTGTGGTCGAGGGCCCATCCCACCCCATTCATTCTCCAGGAGGCTGGAAATATTCTCCGCTGAAACCCAGATATCTTGCCTCAAAAACTAGAATGTAAGCTCTATGAAGACAGGATCTTTGATGATTTTATGTACTACTGCACACCTACCACCTGGAACAGTAGCTAGCACATAGCAGGCACTCAGTACATACTTGCCAAATTTAAAGAAGAATAATGCAGTAGCCCCAGAATCTGAAACCAAACATTCTGAGTCCTGAAGTCTATTTTTTTTTCTACCAGACTTTATCAGAGAACATCCTGCCTTCTGGTTGTTCTAAAGGAAACTTTTCTGCCAACAAATGAGCCGAAGGGAAGGAAAAGAATGTTCAGTAGGTATAGTCACAGGATCATGAAACTACCTAGAGCTAGACACAGAGTAAGCAACTCAAACAATAGGGAAGAGATGATGCTGCATGAAAACTCATTCCAAGGTGGATGGTTAACCAGAACTATCTGCCAGAGGAGAAATGAAAATTTTTACAATAATGTAAAATGTTCCAAGATAGTGAAAACATTATGAAGATCTTGAGTGGTTACCTACAAATACATATAATTTAGACATGAAATATAAACTTCATTTAATCATTCTAGAAAAAAAGTTTGGTTAAGAATGTTATTTTTATCCAAGACATCTACATTTTAAATCTGTCTTTTCCCCTCTCCCAATGTGAAAAATAATCAGCCCTGTGCTCCAGAATGGGAGGTTCCTGCCACCAAAGCCAGTTCTGGACCTAGATGTTGGTGGGTTTTACTTCTATTTTCTTTCCGTGCATCACCACACAAATAATATTACTCACAACTAGATAGTCTCAGGAAGCAGCAAGACACATAATGAAAAAGGCCCAGAGTTCAAATCACCAATTATTATGTGCCCTCTACATGTTGCTATCTCTGATTATGAAAACAAATCAAATACCCCATTTCTACAGGCTGATAATGATGGAAATTAACATGTTACAGTAGTAATATCCTTCTTACTTATTAAATAAATACCTTCTTAAATGCTATGAGCATTTGCAAACATAGGATAGCATGTCTTTTAACTCAGGTGTGCAATAAGCATCTTGCTCACCCACTGATCCCCACTATAGACCCTATTGTAACGGCAGCTTTTTATTTCAATCACCTGGTTGATAGAACTGACACATTCTCCCTGTATTGTGGGGTGAATGAGATAAATCCTAGCAGGAGGGTAAAACACAGAATGCGTTCTTCCTTCCACCCCTATCAACACCCTCCATCACAGAAATTCTGTTTGGGAAAGTCTGTGAAGGAGTAACAGTTTTCACCCAGTCTGGAAATCAAATGTGCAACACAATTCCAAACGTCCTCCTAAAAATAGTTTCCAAATCACTGAATTTAAACATCTTCATGTTTTTTCACACTTCAGAATTGTTTTTTTCTTTAATTCATTTCTTTATTTCAATGTAACTCGTTTTATTTCATAAGCTTTCTGATTTTATAGCAATACTAACAATTCTACTCAGAAATAGCCTCTCCAAACACCAATTATACATGATTTTGGTTTCCTACTCCAGATTTTTTTTCCCAAAACTCTTGGTTCTGTGGACATAATTTTTATGAGTGTGTTATGCCCTGGCCAGTGTGGCTCAGTTGGTTGGTTATCATTCCTTAAAGCAAAAGACTGCTGGTTCAACTCCTGGTCCGGGCACATGCCTGAGTTTCAGATTTGGTTGCTGGTCAGGGCACATAGAGAAGGCAACCAAAAGATGTTTCTCTCTCACATCCATGTTTTCTTTCCCTGTCTTTCGCCTTCCCTACCCCTCTCTCTCAAAAAATTTAAAAAGAGTCTGTTATGATAGATGTCATCTTTCTGTTGCAGAAATCTGCTCTATAAAATGATGTTGACAAAGAATAATTATATAGTTTAATAATAAATGCTGAAAAGAGAATTAAATTACAACTGTAAAACATTTCCACTGATAGTATGATTCAACTTTTGGAAACTTTTCACCATATACTGATTTTAAATTAAAATAAAACCCTTTTGTAGGTATTAATTTATAATTTTTAATTTCTAAAAATCAGAAAATACTGATATTCAACAATTAAGAACAGTTAAGTATAACATGGCATATCCTTCAACAACATATTAATGAATTTAAAATGGTTAAAAACTTCATGTAATAAAAGCTTATAGAAAAATATGACAAAATAGTCTGGAGAGTGTAATTAAGTAAAATGCACAAAGATAAAAAATCTGAAGAGGATAAGCAAGGTTACAATTATGATGTTAGGGTGATGGAATCATGAATTTGCTCTCTATTCACTTTTTTAACAATGTATTCTTAAGTTATTTTTATAAAGAAGCAAAATGAAACCTAAAGAAGTTTAAAGGCACTACAGTGAAACTAGGGGACAGAACAGAAAGGGTGCTAGAGTGAACGAGAAACAGTGGTTAGCTGTAATAGCCATGGGTTCATGTTATCCCTGAAAATCATCTTCCACATTAAAAGCACTGGGGGTCCTCGCCTGCACTATCCTGAGACTCTCCCCTGCATCCTAACATATCTCAAGCTCTTTACTGCACACAATGGAATTCAAGAAAATGTGACCATATGCACAGAGAGAAGATGTTTTTGCCATACTAAAGAAACTCTACTATTCCGGTAACTCAATTCCTTGAGATGAACTCTAAGAGGAATCCCAAGCTTTTACCACATTCCCTCTGTAAAACCAAATTCTAACTAGTTTCCTACTTCCCCAACACAGCAGGATGATGTTTATGGAGAAAGTCAGCCTGACATGAAAAGATAACTCAGGACTCCAACTCATTTCATTCCTTAAACCAAGAGAAATCAAAATGTAAACAAGACAAATGATGAAAAAAATACTAAAGTTCCCAAACATTCTGGTTCTGTTTGTTTAACATGAGAATGTTTGTTCAAAGATTATTAAATCTGCTAGTGGGGCAAGAACTTCACAGAAGAAAACAAGTTTATTACACTGAGAATACAGTATAAGAACCTGTCAACGGTGTATCAAATAAGGAAAAATCCAATAAATCTCAATCCAGGTGTCAATTATTCATACCATTTTTTTCTACGAGCATACAATACTTTTATATTTTTGAAAAACTAAAAAAGACTTTTAAAACATTACTCCTAAACACACTGAGCAGAGCTGCAGCAGAATGTTGGAAAGGATGAAGCACCACCGTGTGCTCAACAAATACTGAGTGACTGGGCATTTCGTGAACAGTGACGGCCACAAGAATAAGGAAGACAGTAGACCGCAGACTCCTGATTTCACAGAGCTGACTGCCCAACAGGGAAAACAAGTATGCCAACAATTAAAATACAAGGGAAGATGCTTTCACTCAGTCAGTCAGTCACCCAGCACTTAACAGAGTGCCTACTGTATGTTAGGCATTGTGGGAAAGGCTTAAGAAACCCGATGAGGGTTTTTAAAAAATTGAACAGCTGTCATCATGAAGCTAGTAATTTAAATAGAGAGGTAGGCTTTATTGAAAAAAAATCACGTAAGTTATCCCCAAAATCACAACTCTGTGAAAGGCTGAGAGAGCAAATGACAAGCAACTGCACACGGTGAAGGGGACCCAGAGATAGGATTACTGAGGACTGCTCAGGACTGCCAGAGAAAGCTCTACAGAATGGCAACATTGAAATCTCTACAGAATGGTGATAGTGAAGCTGAGACTTGGGGATGAAAACAAGGAAAGTGGGACATTCCAAAAAAGGCATCTATGTACTGGGAGACGACGAGCAATTTAATGCAGTGGGAAAATTATAACAATATAGCAATACCAGACAGGCAGACAAAGGCCAGGTAATTTATTAAGAGACTTAAATTCCATGCTATGACTTATTTACTGTTAGTTTTGGTGTTGTTGTTGTTGTTTTTTTTAATGAGAAAATCTAGGACATATTTTTGTGCTAAGATGAAAAAGTTATAAAGACATGAAAAAGTTTCACAGCAATAGGGGAAGTACATTGAGGATGGTTTTAAGTGTAGCATAGCTTGTAAGTAATGCAGAAATAGAAAATAAAATGTGGAGTTATTACATGTTTTAACAAAAGAACATCTTCTCTTTTCTCTAGCAGGTACAAGCTTACCCCTATGATACTCAGTCCTTTAAGGTAGTCCTGACGAGGCTGGGCTTGAGGAACACATCCCGCTAGCACTATTTTCTTGTTCTCCTCTTGAGCTTTTCTAGAAGATTGAAAGAAGAAGAGCGTAAATTCTTTTGCTTGTAGGTATACCTGTGGAAACTGATGTTAGTGCATGTTAGTTCTCTAAATAATAACAAGCCCATCTAGCATGAAACTGGATTTTCTTATGGCTGTTTAAAGAAAACCTATTATAATAAGACTTCTGTATGTGTCTGTTTATCAGGCCACAGATGTTATGGTATAGGAAGTATTTAGAAAATGACTGAATGAATGAATGAAGGAAGGAATGAATGAATAGGCAAAATATAAAATACAATTTTAACAGTACCTGTGTTTCATTTCAGTAACTTAGAGTACTTTGGTACAATTTTTCCACTTGGAATCCCCAAAAAAACTTATTAACAGAATCAAAAAGATCTGACTTCTGTAGATTGCTTAACATATCCAAGAGAGTAATTGCCTGCCTCTGCCATCTGGTTTTACTTTTTTATCTGTAACAAGCACATCACTGCACACAAATGGTTTTCTTGTAATAAATGTGAAATACCTTATCAAACAAAAAAATCTTTCCATTTACATTAACAATCTATACAAAGAAGTAACATCTGGTTTCCTCAAGAACTGCAACCATAACACACAAACTCTCTGCCAAACATCCAACAGAGTCTATGAGGTCACCAATATTTAAATCCAAATAAAAAGCCTGCTTACTATAAAGTGATTTAATTAATTATTAAGTACCTCTAAGACATGATGGTGAGTGTTTAAAGAACCAGACTGGAGGAAGACATGTGCCTTATACTCAACAATCTTCTGGTTTATAATAGATATAATGTAAAAGGACCTAAGCAACACAGCATCATCAAAAACAAACAAACAAACAAACAAACAAATAAAAAACACCCTCAGTGACCAAAAGATGTACAGGCAACATATCATGGAGAAAAAAGAATAGGCACCTAGGAAAAGGCACTAAAGAGTTTCACCAAAAAACCAGGGAGAATTGTAAAGGGGAATAGAAGGTGGAGAGGATGAAAATGGAGGCAGAGATTGCTCTGGTGGTTGTTTCACCATGCACAAAGACAAGAAGAAAGAAAGCAGAAAGAAAGTATTTTATTATAAAAAGAATTTCTACATCAGGGAGACTGATAGGGCCCATTTGTAAGAGCCCCGGATAGTATTTACTTTAGTGGGCAATGGGGAAATCTCTCAAGTATGAGTGGCAGAGTAGACACAGAGTAGAGCCAAAGTTTGAGAACATGACACTGGTGAGAAGCTGTAAAATTAAATAAAAGAGAAAAAGAAGCCAAGAGATCGGGAAATTAAGTGAAGACCCTTGACAAAGGGATATGAGGACCTGAATGTATGTAGAAGATTCACCATAGAGAGAAAAACAGAGACAGACAGATAAGGAGGAAGAAGGGGCGGGGGGGGGGGGGGGGCAGGCGGAAAGGAAGAGGAAGAGATGATTAAAGACAACACAATTAGTTCTCTTTCTAAAATTTACTTGGAAAACCTCAAGAAAGAATCAAAAGTGATGCCAAGATCTTGAGTCTAGGGCATGTATTAGCAAATGTTTTCTATAAAGGGTCAGACAGCAAATACCTTAGGCTTTGCTGGTCATAAGACCTTAACTCTGCCACTGGAGAGCAAGAGTAGCCATACACAATACTTAACCAAAAGGGTGTGTGTCTGTGTTCCAGTAAAACTTCATTTCCAAAAACAAGCAGTGGGTCACATTTGACCCAAAGGCCAGAGTTTGCTGATCCCTAACCTAAGAAAATAAAAAGGTAGCCTTTAGTTGTCAGGAGAGGATGGCTGAGAATTGGAATAGCAAGTAAGAAATTCACATAGGACACACTAAAGCTGAGGACCTACTAATGCCTATCTAGTCTCAGGAAATGCAATTTGGCTGGCTGGGAGTGAAGCTTGGGGTAGATTTTAGATTCCAAAATGAGAATCCAATTGAGTACAAAATTTTAATGTTGTTTAGAGATGTGAAAATATTTCTATAGGATTAAAATATTGGTGTGGAAAACAAAAAAGAGGTAACATCACCAACAACATCATTAACATCATTATACCAACAATAATAATCATGGTTAGCATCTATATGGCACTTGGTCAAGGTAACCATTTTACATAATGCATCTGAAAACAGTACAGCCGAAATACAACAACTGAGAAAAAAAATATTCCGATGACAGTATAAGCATTAGATAGGGTCATAAAACAGCCCAAGAATGATTTTAAGGGAGTAAGCAGAATACCAGAAAATAAAGGTTCAAAATAGAGATGCTTCATTAAGTCATTTATTTAAAATATTATTGATGCTTTTACTGACTTTGGCTTTAAAATGTGAAAATAGACCAGAATTATAACCTAAGCCAAAACTCATACCCCAGTTATGGAATATTAATGCCACAATTTATATGTGACCAAATAAAGTAGCAAAAGCTTTAAGGCAATTTCTCAAAGAGTATTCTTGTTCTGAACATTCCCTTCTTACATCCTATTCCTTTTGTTTAGTGAGTTTTGTCCAGGTTAATAAAAGCCAGAAAAATCTTTAGAAACATATCCAGCACAAGCATGTTTTTAAAACCTTTATCTTTCAAAATATAAATGCTGATAAAAATAATTCCTTAAGAAATTTTAAAATAGTATAAACTTCCATGTCTTCATTTTTAGATAACCTTGAAGTGTTAATTAAAACAAAAATTGAATATAAAGTTAATTCCTTATAATCATTAATATTTTCTTGAGACATATTTCTAAATTGAAAGAGAAATAGCCTGGTCTAGAGTGTTAACTTGAATAATATAGGAAACAAAGAAATACCTCCCTTTTTGCCAAATACCAAATGCAAACAATAATTTGTACAGAATCTTAAAATTCACGGTATCATAGAAAACACACAAGGATGACAATATCATTCCTTTATTCCACAAATGAGAAATTAATACTTGAGAAGGAGCCATGTTCAAGGCCCAAAGTTCCACCGTTTGTGCAATCAGTGGTGGAGCTGGGATGAGTCCCCAAGATCTACTGGGTCCTTGAGTATTATGTTTCCATTATATTTCAGAACATAAATCAAATGAGTTTTGATTGTGTAATAAACTGGAACAAACTTTCAGAGTTTATTACACAATCAAAATTTCTAAAACAGCGTAGAAATTTAGAGAGACTATAATGTATCAAATGTCTTCAAAGTAGAAACATAAATTAATATTTGACAGTTCTTGTTTTCCTGAGTCTTGTGAACAAAATAACAGTCTAATAGAAAAGGAATAAATTCATGCGTATTTCAAGAAAAACATAGCTCTCTACAAGTGGCAGGTAAGAAGGAAATGTTTCTCCATGTTTATTTCTCTTATTCCTTTTCTCTTCCATGCCAATTGACATTTAATCTATATAAAATACTCACAATAATGTCTAAACTTCAACCAAAATTTTTGTTCATGAAAGACTGTTTTAAAATATATATGATTTTTATTTCTAAATATGTATTAATACACTCCTAAAAACTTCCTCACAACACCAGAAAGAGGGCGAAATCAGTCTGCTTCTGTACAAAGCAAGCATACTCTTAACTAGTCTGCATGCGATTAATGTCTGCATTCAAATACTCAAGTGAGAGGATACTTATTTTAAGTGTTTATTTATGTGTAGGCATGGAGCTATGTGAAATGCATAAAAAAACATCTCAGCACATTATGCAACAGACAACAACTAAGGATCTGTGGTTGTGACATACTTCAATAACTCTGATGTCCTTCCTGAATTTTGGAACAACCAGTGAAGAAGGAAATAGTTTATCGCGACAATGCAACTCTGTCCTGACAGGAGTTGTCAGGGCTTGTTGAGTGAGGTGAGGAGCTACCAAACACTGAAAATAAAGTAACTCTAAGACTTGACGGGATTCACTAATTTGAAAAAAAAAATCCAAGTAGATGTATTAAAATGTGTAACCTGAGATATCTTCATACATTCAAATCCAAAGTACTGGAATGTAATATAATCTCGGGAACACAAGACTGAACACTATCTTAACCAACATTTTATGGGGCACATTTTATGCCCCATGAGAAGAAAGAATGTAGTCTTCATTGCACCTAGAAAAGCAGAGTCCAAAGGGTAAAAGTTTCTCAACATCTGTAACAGTGGCAAACAGAGCAGTCACCTAAGGCAGACAAAAACCAGTCATGAAATTCCCACTTGATTCAGTAGCTTTCCTTTGTATTGTGCTTGCTACCAATCCAAGTTCTTGAGTTCGCCTATGAAAATGACTATTTATTAAGTCAGTAGTTCAGCATTTCATTTTTTCATTCTATCCTGCATTTATACATCACATGCCAGACACACATACACACACACACAAATAAATAAATAAAAAGATAGTCACTGATCTCAAGGAGTTCACAGTCTAGTGAGAAAAGGAAGAAATGGGCCTTAGAACCCAGGTTTTTGCATGAAGGGAAAGAAGAGAGATCTGGAGGTAGCAAGGAATGCTGAGGTAGCCCTGTAGGGGAACCTGTATGCACTCCTGTAGAGAGACCTAAGGGTAGCCGGGTGTGAAGGAGAGGCAGCTTCCTCTGAAAGCAGGTGTATAACACTGACACAAACCAGATGAGGTCCCTAAGGGACCAGATCAGGGGTACAGGGGACGCTGAGCAAGGCAGACCAGAAGTGTCATCCTTATCTTCATCCTCCTCCACCACTACCACCACGACATCCTGTCACTGTGCTTTCATGTGCTCTATGTACCAAGAGTCTGTGAATGATTGCATTTGAAGAAAAGATTCTGTGACTTTAATTTAAGGGGAAAAAAGTGAGAACAGAACATAGACTTTTTTTTTCCAGCTTCACTGAGGTATAAATGACAAGAATATAGAATTCTATGAATAAGTTAAGGATTTAAAGAAAGCTGGTTCACTATAGAAAGGGAGTTTCAATGAGAAGTATAAGAAAGTTTTAAAAAGCTATAGGGGATACAAGTGATGAGGGAAGGGGGTGAGACCAAAGACAGGAGGGATGGGCAGA